CTCCGAAACCACTGCCTCCCATCCGAGCCAAAAAGATTGAATTTCGACTCATCTGAGTAGATGACCAAGCGCCACTCTGCATCGCCCCATTTGCTGGCCTCCTCCGCCCAGGTTCTCCGCTGCGCCACAACTGAACGGCTAAGGTACGGCTTCTCCCGACGTGCTCGTCCATGCAGGCCAATCTCAGAGAGACTCCTCTGGACAGTGCGAGGGCTGACGGTGGGGAACAGCTGTCGCTGGACATCACTTGCATCACGAGCCATACCCCTTGCCAGGAGGATCTCGGCATGACGAAGGTCACGGGGGGAGAGGCTGCGAGGGCGGCCAGGCTTTCGGGGGCGGAAATAGACGTCCTGGGCCTTTTTGACTATCTTGTAGTTCCGTAAGGCTGTGGAAGCATTGAGGCCGAGGATAGAGCCGATTTCATGGAAGGACTTTGGCTTGCCAAAGCGGGGGTCACGGAAAGCCAAAATGCGAGCACGTTTGCTGGGGGTACACACTGTCATAGCAACAGGCGTGTAGACAAGGATCTTGTGAAGCGAGTATTAAAAGGATATAAGCGTTAGAGGTCGTGTCGTCGAAGATGTTGAAGAAGAGTTGCGCCGGTGCCCAGTGCCAGCGCATACCAAATTAGCGCTGAAACATGTTTTTGGCCAATTGTGTAAGCATTATATTGGAGTTGATATTTATCATCCCAGCACTATACTAAGGGACTCATAGGAATGTATATAACTGCATTTATTCAGTGGTACACTTTGTAGATACGGCGGTACAGCAGGATTTCGGTCGCACGAAGCGCCGGTGCACTATTTTCGGCAGTCACTGTATGATTCCATAGTTCTGCCCTCATTTTGCCCCCAAAAACAGGCTCTGCGCACTTCCTATCACTATACCTCCCCAAGCAATCACGCTGATACTACCACCCTACATATCTACGACCTTCAGCTTTCTATCTACCCATCTCCCAATTCTTGTGCCACCCTGTGGCCTCGGTAACGCAGGAGAGCCGCAATTCTGTCGCCTCCTTCGGGCGCTTATCGCACGTGGTGCGCTATTTTATGCGGTCACTGTATGTAGGACAAAATGAGATACAAACATTTCTTATCCATTATACACATAATGAACTTCTTGTATATCGAGTCAGTAGCTCTTCAATTGTGACGTGCCGTTATGGAGTAGTAGAAGTCTTCGTGACCGTAATGTGGCTTACTTAGGCAGGTCGCCTAGCGTAGACGCCGGAGAGAAAAAAATCAGCGCGTTCACGGACTTATGCAAGGCGCTGTAAGCAGGTCGTAAGTATGTAGGAGGGTTGAAGTGCGGTTTGCAAGTCAAGTTAGTCAACGTTTGATCCGTTCATGAAGCCGTGGAAGCCCGGTGCTGATCGGCCGAAGACCGTGTAGACAAGCGCTCGAAATGAGCCTCGGCGTCCAGCGTCCACAAGGTTGAGCCCCAGTGAGAACCTTCCCTGTTGCTCACGATTCTCATCTTTTTTGGCCCGTTTCAGTCCGCCCAAAAGGCAGAAGTAGTCAGATATCCACATGTATGTAGGTGAATGCATAGATATCCGTCCATATGCACACAAAAAGCTATTTGCCGTTCGTCGTCTTTTCCCGTCTGTCTCCGTCTATTTGCATATTTTTCGCCCGATATCTGTATGTTCCACTCTATTGAACCCCTGGCAAAAATATAGGAACAGAGTGCAACAGTCCTATACAGTTGGGGCTCGTTGCGCTTGGGCACCAGATCGAGGATGAACGGATATATGTATTTATGGGTGGTTACTCTACGATACAAATTTCGCATTACATAATAATACGCTACTCCCCGCGCCCGCGCATCGTGCCAAGCCCGCGTACAGTGACCTACCACGACGTGCTCTAACCTACTGCGTTGCTGCACCCGCACGACTTACCTGTATGCTGTGTGACAGCGAGTAACCCACTCACCTGTGTTGACGTGTACAGACAGCGATACCCTACCTGTTAGCGAGGCTCACGGTGAATGAGAGTACCGAGGACAGAAAGGGATGGTGAAAGGAGGGAAGAAAGGGCGCAGAGATGGGAGGACGGCTTTCGCCCACTATATATAGAGCATTGCGAACACCGATGGCGTCATGGACGAAGGAGCTGGGGACGAGATCGTAAGAATGGATATGGTAGGATAACCGTCGGTCGGCACACAGGGAGGCATATATGTAATAGATGTGGATG